AATGCAATCATCAGATCGTGTGTATGTTTATATGTATGAGTGTATGTATTATGCACTCTGGCACTACAGCCTCGTGAGGCCAGGGCCTCCCATGACAATGAATTTAGGAGACAATCATCGTACTACTTACGAACTTTTGTTAAGGCCAATTCCACGCTTTCGAGCGTCAGCAGAACAGATACTCCGCGACGCAAGCATCGCCTAAGAGCAGATCCACTGCTCAGGGTAGAAGCCAAACGCATGACCTCACAGAGCGAGAAGCTCGATCGGCGTACGCATTCTAAGGAGTAATTAGACTTTGAAACAATGGCTGTGAAGCTTAGATGAAATGGTAAACAAGTTTTTACATTTATACATTTATTTCCGACAGATACTACAAAAAAACTTCTTACATTTACATAATAATAAGGTTTTATGTACAATTCTAATGTACCATGATATGGTTGATGCCTTTCACATTTTATAGTGCAATACTATTTTTACCTACTATTGGTATATTTATATTTACATAAATCTTACATACCAAGGGTATATTTAATTGTATTGGCCAATTATTTTGTCATACAAGATTATGTTTATAAATGATGCTGTGATCCTTTAAGACATTTTTGCGAAAATGTAATGGTGCATGCATATGCTCATCCGCGCAAGAAAAAAAAACGCAAGTACAGAGACGAGGTTCCACAAGCGGTATTGACAAGTAGAACTAAAAAGGGGGAAATTGGCGTTTTAGAAAAATGTTATTTTGCATACTGTTTCTTGAGATCCACTGACTAAACGATCCATGCGGAATGGTTTCTTTTAGATGATACTGAGACTGTTAATAAAGTAGCCCTCTCAAATCTCAATCAGGTTTAAGCCGAAATTCAACATTCGATTGGAAACTTTCTAAACTTGAATATAAAAGTTCTTGCATCAGTATAGCTATGGATTAGCGTTCATGAGCGTGGCATCTTCACTCAACAATTAACACGATGCGATGGTCCATTCGCTGCGTTCTCCAGGATGACGATCTGGTAGCCCTCACTGGTGTTCACCAGCTTCAAGTAGAACTGCAGGCCCATGGACAAGACACCGCTTGCAGAACTGAAGCTATGAAGTAGTGTTTTTGGTCATATCTCCAGCGCACAACTGATTTGACGATCTATTCGGGGCATTCTCCAGGGTCATGACGAGGCATCCCACACACGTGCTCACCATGCCCAAGAAGAACCGCAGGTCCACGGGCAGGATCC